TAGAAACGTTTGTTTATCTTTACGTTTCCAAACGGGATAGACCGTGGGCGAAGGCCGGATAAAATATTGATGCAAGTGATTTGCATAAGTTATTCTGCATCATTTCCTAAAAGGAAAAAGATCACAACCCAGCGTTTCCCTATAATAATACATATAATTGAGTAATTCTACAAACAGTTTTTTTTATTTATAAAAACGGTTTCTTTTTCTTTTGGTTCGAATCTGGCATTTTTTTTTTTTCAAGAAAGTAAGGTGCTTAGTTAAGTTACTCCATAAATGGCTGGCTGTCCAGTGTTATGGGTTCTTGTACAATATCCGGTTATAACTCTGAAACATTTATATAAATGACCAGTCATCCATATGAGTGTCATTAAACATATACTAACACTAAGGAAGGGAGGGAAAAAACATATACAGTACAATCTCAGAAATCCGTATCAACAATAATTAAAAAAACACATTAGATCCAAATAGTCCTACTTTATTTTAACTTTCCATCCAAAGTTTCAGCCCTCAGGCCTTCTTCAAGGGAGGAAACTAACAATATTGAAATATATATATGCCTTGAATCAGTTTACAGAATGACTAACTCCAATTTCAACATTTTTGAATAAAGTCATTTTTGTGATATTCCTAGTTGGAAAATGTATAATACCAGTACAGACAGTGAGTAAGTTGATTCCATAGTAGGTGATTGCAGTGTAGAAATATAGAACTGTGTATAAAGGTATCAATTTTCTCACTAGAAATATCAATAAAATTAATAATAAAAAATGTTGAAATTGGAATTAGTCATTCTGTCAACTGAAAGAGGCTCATATGTTAATCCTTATTGATATTTAGAACCTACTTAAATAAAATCTACTAACTTAATATACAGGAAATACAAAAAAGTTCACATAAACAGTGATCCAATTTATTGCAGAAAAGAAGAAAATTTTTGTGATCCTTGCTTCAATTTTTTCAAGAAAATCACGATTTTTTGTTGAATTGGAAACGATAACCAAAAAAACAAATAATAGAGGCAATCAACAATTGCTTCAAAGTAAACTAGACAAATTTGCTTTAAGTACAAGTAGAGGTTGTGTTTTTTTATTTTTTTTATATTGATTATTCGCGATTTTTTATCACCTTCCAACAGGATTACAGACAGCCCACTTTTGTAAAAACTTACATGTTTAACAAGTTTCAAGTCCATATTAATTAAGTTGAGATTTTCTCCAAAATAATTTTAGATTCACCTTTAATTGAGTTAAAAAAATGAGTGATTTGACATTCTGTCACTCCAGAATGCCTTTGTTTCAAAGATAAATAACTGTAATAAATTATTACAAAGTTTTAGTTGATTTTCTATGACCCTAGATGTATTCCAGTTAGTAATTAATCACAAAAATACACTTTTTTTAAAAAAAAAAAAATCACTTTAATAAAATAACCAATTTAAATGCTTTCTTGAAAAGTTCTCTTTTTTTCTTCTCCTCTTCCTCGCCGTTTAGGCTATACGGGGTTTTCCCGGGCCAGAGGTTATATTATCATTTTAGGTGGTAAAACACACCTGTTTTTACATAGATCTTTATCATAAGAATTAATTTTTATTCCGGCTGTCGGGATAAAACCCTCCCCCAAAATGGTAAAATATATAACCATATCTTATGAAAAAAAAAAAAAATATATATATATATATATATACATATATATATATATATATGGAATCTGTATTATTGTTCGTGTAATTACATTTAATAGGACTACAAGAATTACTTCAACACCATTTCACACAGGTAGTTAGTTTCTTTCTTTTTCATCCAAGATAACTATCGTTATGTGTCCCGTAAGTAGAGGGAAATTTTTATAGGAGTGATAGTAGACCTTATGAGCTACAAAAAAGTTGGTATAAACAGTCGACCAATTTTCGGCAGAAAAGAAGGAAATCCAGGTTTCGTTTTTTTTAAAGCTAGTCATGTTTTTTGCTGAATCGGAAGCGATAACATAAGAAATATTTATTTTAAGTAATTAAATATTGCTTCACTGCAAACCAGACAAAATTTACTTCAAATTTAGATAGAGCTTGTCATTTTTAAAACCATGTAAAGAGTACTTTTGAGCGACTAAATTCATTTAAAAAAAATAAAAATCATAAATTATTCTCGATTTTTTTTATTCATCCTCCAAGTATTCTACAGATACCACACTTTTCGAAAAAAAATCCTCGTTTAATAAGCTTTAAGTTCATATTAATTGAGTTGAGGTTTATTAGGCAAAAACTTGAGATTCACCTAAAGTTGTGTACAAAATTTATGTGATTTTATATCCCATCACCTAAATGTACCCGAGTTTTCAGCAAAAATTACTATAATTAAATGTTGCAAAACTTTTATTTATTCTTTTTTCACGATCTGGGTTGTATTAAAAAACACAAGTGCATAAATACAATTTTTATTTATAAATGAAAAAAATTAAAAATAATGATTTTTTAAATATTTTTTATGTTAAATGGTTATAAAACTGTGTTTTTCTCCCAGATCTCTGTCATAGAAATTGATCCGTATTTATAAGTGACAAACTTAATATATCTAATCGTAAAATTTAAGTTAAAAATAAAGAATCATGTTCATTGCTTCAATTATTTTTATGATACCGTAAATATTAGGATCAGGATCATTAAGGTTGTCACTTATAAATATGGATTCTTATGACAGATATCTGGGAGAAAAACACATTTTCATAATCATTTTGCATGAAAAATATTTTAAAAATCATTATTTTTAATTTATAAATAAAAATAGTATTTACGCAACTTTGTTTATTTTAATCATCCCTATATCATGAAAAAACGAGAAATAAAAGTTTTGCAACGTTAACTATAGTAATTTTTGCTGAAAACTCTGTGTCTTTTAGGTGACAGGAAATAAAATCACATAATTTTGTGCACAACTTGAGATGAATCACAAGCTGTTGCCTATAAACATCAATTTAATTAATATGGACTTAAAGCTTATTAAATGAGGAAGTTTTTCGAAAAGTGGGGTTTTCCTAGAATACTCAAAGGATGATGAAGAAAAGTTGTGAATAATTTATGATTTTTTTTTTTTAACAGAATTTATCTTAATTAAGTCGCTCAAAAGTTCTCTTTAAATGGTTTTAACTATAACAAACTCTCTTTTTATTTTAAGTAAATTTTGGCTAGTTTACAGTGAAGCGATTGGTAATTACTTAAATTGAATATTTCTTAAGTTATCGCTTCTTATTCAACAAAAAACATGACTTGTCTAAAAAGCCACAAATCTTAAATTTCCTACTTTCCTGCTGGAAATCGGCCAGTTGTTTATATGAACTTTTTTATAGCTCATGAGGTCTACTATTAAAATTTCCCTCTACTTACGGGACACCCTGTATACATAAAAAAAAAAAAAAGCTTTCGGGCTGAAGCTCCCTCCCCTAAAAATTAAATCCTGGATCCGCTAGTGGCCATAGCATATGGCTATTTCCCATCTAATGAATTGATTAAAACATAATGCTGCATTTTTTTTGCATTACTACCGCTCTATTTTTTAAAAATTATGATAAAGCATTTTCAAATAATAAACATGGAAAATGTGCATTTTAGAATAGAAAATAACTTTATTCTGGGACGAAGTCCCTTTAGATTAACAAAATAGAACATAATTAAAATAAATACATACATTTTTGTACGTACACATGAGCTGAAGAAATTAATATCTGTTTGATACATGGGTGTAGATGGTTCCAGCACCAGTTAGCTTCCTTCAAGAACAGTTTTGTGAAAGAATTAATATAAAGTAAAAAAAAAAAAAAAAAATACAAACGAAAATCAGTTCTTAAATAATTAAACAAACAAAAACCTCTTATATTTATTCAATATTTTAATAAAAACGATTTAACCAACACAAAACTCTGATGGATTTAAAACAACTAAAATTTATTCATTCACGACTTGGAGATTAAAACCTTATAATGTCAGGAATCCAACTCTTATTTGATCTTATTCACTACTGAGGTAAATGAGTAACCCAAATTCTATGCCATTCTAAATTCATTTATTGTTTACATTTAAGTTTGGGTTTCTTCAGATCCCTGGTTCGAATCTAGTTGTGGCAAGTAATTATTTATCCTGATCATCAGCTGTAGATCGAACTTTCAATCAGAAGATCCTCCTGGGGCACAACCAGCCTCTATAAACTGGGCATTCTTAACTAAATAATTAATTAACTGGAAAACAGCTGAATTTTTCATTTGAAAAAAATAGTGCAATAAAATTCTCCGCAAAAACGATATTGAGGGTTTGAAATTTTCCATGTTTGAAATAATAGGAACAACATTGTGTACACTTTGAAGATTTAAAAAATACCGATAACCCGAGTACACAGGATTAGCTCTTGAATAAAGTAGGTTTCAGTGTTGTAGGTAAACAAAAATTCTGTAGATGAAAACCGGCGGAAACTTATTAACGTACCCAATATAATAGCAGCAAGGTGAACTGACATGAAGATAGGGTAATGTTAACCCTGGGTTGTTAAAAGAAAAATGTAATAAGTATTCATATTAAAGAGTGGATTAAGGAAGGATTATAATACCTTATTACCAAAAGAAATTTATTATTATTCTTCCATTCAATTAGAAATTTAGTTGTTTAAAGTACATCAGCCAAGCAATTTTATATGAGGTGTTTGTTGTGATAGAAATGAGTAAGAAAGTCATTTATTTGAATATAAACAGTCATACAAAATGAAAACCAAGTTGAGCTACTACGTTTTTTTCTCCTTATAATGTGCCTCAGAAGGATTTCCTGGTCTGAAATTTTATCCATTGTTGACAGCAAATACAATAAAGTTACTGTTATAAATGAACTCAAACTTTTGTCTGGAAGTTCAGTGTTAATTACCTTAAATTCAGGTTACCTATTCAGGTTTTGGATTGAACTATGTAAACACATAATAGTCTTAGTTATCTTAATAGGACAGAATAGGAATAGCAAGTTGTACAATACAGGTAAAGTATATTTTTTTACACTTTCAAAAATAATTTTTCAACAATTTTGTCAAATATATATCATTCATTGACATTAAACTAAAAAAAAATAAATTTAATTACATCTTATGAACTGTACATTTTTATAAAAATACATATAAGATATACACATATATTTCTTATCTACAAATATAAAATATTTAATAAATCAATTCTAATCTTTTTTCTAAACCAAAATCAAAAATGAATTCATATGGCAGCAAATAAAAAACAAATACTTATCACAAACGATTTTCATTAGAGTGCAGTAATCAATTTTTCAACTATATTACAACAATAAAATCCATTTTGAAATGTAACTATTTATTTCTCATTTTTACAAATTTACAATATCAAAAGTATATTAAATCTCATCATATAAATGATAACTAACAATAAAAATAAACATTCTATCATATTTGTATGCATGTTTCAAAAGTAAAAATAATAGACATATATCACATATATAATGTTAGTATTCTTAGTATTTCTCTATTAATATCAAAGAATCCAACTCTTCCAATTAATCTTTATATGGTTTATTCTCATGATATAAACATAAATACAAAAATCTTGCTAATATGAAGTGGACAGTATCACAGATGAAGTTACCTATCTCCAATAGATGGCTCTTGCACTAAATCCAAGCATGACTTAGCACTGGAACTAAGAAAATCACTACATTAATAATTTGAAATAGAAATTAATTTTTAATATAATTAAAAATGTATAGTATATGTGGTAAGTTTGCAATATATTGTACAAAGTTTGACATTAGATAACTGTAATATCTTTATTTTTTAAGCTGTATTTTTCCTCTCATTTGTTAAATGTTCCTGAGATAATTATGTTTTAAATATTATGCTCAATTACACGTTTCAATAACTTCCATTTTAATGAGATTTGTAATAAAATTTAGGGAAACTTAGTATGCACTTGTTTTGCCTGTAGATAAATGTGTACATAGTACAAAGTTTGATTAACAGATTCTTTGTACAGCACAAAATTTGTAAGGTTGTGAAATGTTTTAATAACAAAAGTACCACCAAGTATAGGTAAAATAAATATTAATACATAAAATGTAATTATTAATATGTAAGTACAAAAATTAAAGAACTTTTGATGAAAGATTATATCAAATCAGAGGAGAAAATCTGAATAGTAGAAATTGTTTACACATTTTTGAAAAAAAAAATCTTTTATCTCAGATTTAAATCATTCTTGAATTGAGTAATGAAAAAAAAAAAACGATTGATTAAATTGAACATCTTAAAGACAGATCAAATTGCAAATGCAATGTTTTTTTTTAGGTAGGAATGAATGAACAGTCTGACTTACATTATATATTTGTGAGAATGCCACAATGCCATTTAATGATTCAGAAAAATCGAAATAAATCTTATCAATTTATTTATTTTAATTTCAACAATAATATTTCTATTTCTTGAATTATTTTAAAGTTCATCTCAAATACTTACGGTTTAGTAGTTCTCACTCTCCTTGATATATGAAGAGCAATTGGTCCACATTTAATATTTTTAAATATTGATACAGCTTCTGAATGGGTTAAATCATGAAAAAGTTGACCATTAACGGCAAGTATTTCATCCCCTAGAAGAAAATATAAGGCGTTTATAATTAATCTTCCAGCAAAAAACACAAATTGCTCAATAATGATGAGATAAAATAATTACAATCAGAACAGGGCAAAATGTATTTTAAATATTTTTTTAAAAATACTACATATTTTATTTTTTTTAAATACGGTGTATTTTAATTACAAAGAATTTAATTTGTTTTCAGAAAACGTATTTTAAATATAAAAAATAAGCAACAAATTCAAAATACTTTCTGGTGGGTGATCAGCATATAGTACAAATAACCTGCTCTATTTACTAATTTATTTTGTGTATTTAAAATACAACATAAAATACATTTTTTGTATTTCAGTATCTTGGAAATAAAATACATTTTTTTTTTTTGTATTTTAAAAAGAAAGTACAGTTAAAAACAATATAATATATATTTTACTTCTTAAAATGCAAAATACAAAAATGCCTCTTTTGCAATTTAAAATACTTTATTTGAAGTACTGCCTAAGTCTGATTATAATAACTTTTTTTACACAAAAATTATTTTACCTGATAAAATATTGTTTTTTTTTCAATTAATTAATAAATCTAAAGGAAAATAAAATAAGATAATAAAATAAAATGTAAAATCTATACATTTAGAAGGTGGGGAAATTCTTTCTTAGTCAGCAACATTTTAAACATAAAAGTTTTCAAATTTTTAATAATTAAAAATAATGTTCAAAAGTTTTCATTAGTTTATTTAAATTGAATAATAATAGTTGGGTTCATTTCGTTCAATAAAAAGAAAATATGTTTAAAATTATTAATTACTTATCATAATAACTTACCTTCATGAAGACGTCCATCCTCAGCAGCTTGTCCTCCTTCAATTATGCTTTTTACAAATATCCCCATTGCACCACGTGGTGAATCTTTCCCACCAACAATGGTAAAACCCAAACTTTTCTTTCCAGGCCCTTTTTCAAAAACAAAGGTGTACAATGAATATACATTTGACCTAGGGCGTCTTGGTAAAGTATAAAATGTTGAAGAACCACCTGATTCATTACTTAAAGCACATTTTGAAATAGCACTTCCATGCCTTTTTTCAGTGACTGTATTACATTTTATCTGTTTCCCTGAAAAAACGCCAAAGTTCTTTCTGAAAGCTTTTCGATTCAGGGTATTATTTTTTAAATATTGATAAGCTTCTTTATGACAATCAACATCTTTTTCATAGTCTACTGTTTCACTCATTATACTTTGCTGAGATTTACATCGCTCATCTTTCAAGTAAGAATAAATAAGAACATTTTCATAATCGACAGAACTTTCCTGCATTTTGTTTGCTTTCCATTCAATATGCCTAGCGATTAGAATATCAACATTAATTGGTCCAGTTGAAATTGTTTCGCGTGCCTTTTCAAATGGTAAACCTTTTAACCTCCTTCCACAAATATTTATGACTTCATCATCCACTTGAAAACTGCCATCCCTAAAAAAAATTAACCAACATTGGTAATGATTACGTGGTTGATCTGTGAGAAGGGGAAAATGGGAAATTTTTCTCTCAAATTAACCATTAAGAAAAAAAAGAAAAGATATACGGCTGTTTAAAATGTACCTAATAGTACCACCAATATTTATGAATAAATTATCATTCATTTGGTAGGGAAAATTGTTCATTGTAGATGCATCAAAGCAATTAATTAATTACCTTGTTTATGCCACTTTTAAACAGTTTGAGATATGAAATAGTTAGATAAAATGAATTAATAAAATAAAGTCATCAAAATTTGTTCCATAGACAAGGTAATATTTTTACCAAATTTTGATAGTTTTCCTCAACAAAAAAATTCTGTGGCTTTTGGCCAGGAAGAAGTACAGTATATAAATAAAAATTTGTTTCCATCACCTCTTCATATTTTTGTACCAATCATATGATAAGACTCAATAAGAATTAATTGATTAAAACTATGAAAGCATGTGGTCTCAAAAAGGCTGATTGGATAAAGTGCTATGACCCTTGCAAACACCAGGTGTAGGGTGAAGGTTCTTAGAAGAGTTTAAGGTAGGGAATGGTTTATGCCAAGAAGCTCCTCTCTCCTCTGTAATATTCAATATTGGATTGGAGTAAGCAGCCGGATCTATTAGAACAAACCCAGGAGGAACAATATATTACCAAGCACTTGGAATTTGCTGATGAAGTGGTAATAACAGCATTGTCACTGTGCTTAGACTCTCAGAAACTTTCCAAGAATTTCAAGAAGCTGGACAAAAATTGGTTCTTAAAATACCATAAATAAGGCAAAAAGAATCAATACATGATTTCTTCTTAAAGTGAGGGGCAGGAAGGATAGAATCACGTGCAATTGCTCCACCATATGTCTATGTAAGTGGACAATTTCAAATACCTAGGAACTTTAGTGATGAGAAGAATGATATACCATGGAAATAAAAGAAAGAATTGCAGCAGGCATCTGATGTGTTTTTGCATTACTGAAAACATTGTAGTTTTGGAACCTGTCCCAGATTGCTAAGTTACTTATTTATAAAATGATCTTGAGGCCAATTGTTGCATGAGCTGATCCAGGAATGCAAGAAATCCTTTGGATTTTGAAAAGGATGGTACTTTGCCAGATCTTTGGGCCATAAGTATAGGTGGCAAAAGGATAAGAAATACTAGAGAACTTTGTGAACTATATAATGAATCAGATATACTCACTTATATCAAATCAAGCCATAGAAGAAACTCAAAAATAATAAAAATATATATCAAACCAAGAGGCAAAAGAAGAGTACAGCCCACCCTGCAATGGATAAATTATGTGGAGAATGATTTGCAGAAGTTGGGAAGCAGACAGTGGAGACAACAGGCTGATGATAGGGAAGATTGAAGAAGTATTGTCGAGGAGGACTACAAGGGCTGTAGGGCCACAGAAGAAGAAGAATAAACTATTAATAACTAACAATTAAAATATTAAATAATAATTAATAAGTTCAGATTAGTATGAATAAGGAACTTACTTGTCAGCTAAACTTCCAGGAAGGATATGAGCAATAACATATCCAGGGTTAACTGAATTGTTCACTTTTGTCAAACAGATGCCAAGATTTTCATTGGGGTTTTTCCGTACTAATCGTACAAGAATAAAAGATTTTTCATAGTTACTGCACTTATTTGGTGAATTCTTAAAATGCGGTGGCAGAGGAGGTGGTGTATCTGAGTCAATTTTATTTATGTCATGTTTCAGTTCATCTCTTGGATTCCGCATGCTATATCCATAGGAAAAATTTTGATAATCATTATCAGAGGTTTCTTGTGATACACTTCTAACATGGCACACATTTATTTTATCCTCTGCTGCCTTTGAACCAAAGTAATCAACAAATGAAGAATTTGTTGAACTATTAACTAAAATACCACTGTCACTATCATCATTTTCAGCACTCATATTTATGGAATCATTTTTTCTTGGGTTATAATAATGAACAATGTCTTCTTCATCTAATAGTTCTTGACGAAACTCTTCCATTCCAGGTAATGCACCATATGAAAAGCTACGTATTTTAGCTTTCCTACTTTTATTTTTGTCACTGGAAATATACTGTTCAGTATCTTGCGAGCTTTGTTTGTAAAATTTTGCAATAAATCTATTAGTGGGAGGTTTCAGATATCTTTCAGACATCAATTTCAATTTAGCTGTTAGAAATGACCTCGAGCAAATGTTTTCTTCTTGGTTTTTCGATTTAGAGTTACTAGGTGATGTAATGTCTTTGCTACCACTGCCGGCAGAGGAATACTCATAGTTGTTCGATTCCTTACTTGTTCCTTTTTTCTGACTTTGGTTATAATTTCCATCTTCAACCAAATTTTCAAAGGATAAAGCTTTTGTGTATTTTCTGATACGATTAAAAGCACTATTTTCATTTGAATAATCACTTCTTTGAGAACTGTGGGATTCAGCCGTATTATTTGATGACTTCAAAGATGGTAGGTATGAAAGTCTAGAAATTTTTACTTTTTCAAGCAGTGGATTTCGTTTTTCCTTGGAATTACATGGTTCCTCTCTTGGAGAGCCTTCAATTAAATGGCTACTTGATGGTTCCACAGCCAATGGCTGACCATCTAAGGTGTAAAAATTTAAATTGTTCCCTGTGTTGCTTTTGTTGTGGCATTTCATTGAAGACATACCTAAAAAAAAAATAAAATAAATGAATGCAAAGTAAGTAGTCTAAAATATTCCTAATACAATGTTACAAATGAAAAAAAATTATTTACCTAATTGTGGTCCTTTACTAGAATTAAAGGAGGGTGATTCTGCTCCTCCTCCGCCTTCTGCATCCTGTGTTAATGGTGATAGACTGAGGAGTCTTGGAGCATCTGTACTTTTATGAAACCATTTCATTCTAAATCTTCAGTACTACCTAAAATTAAATATATAAGATTAAAAAAATGCATGTAAAATTAATAAATCTGTTGGATAAACATTAAAGTACAAAATCCATCATGTTTTTAATCACATTTTCTAACTACATAATTAGTAAATAAATCAGAATATTAAATTTACAATACAATATTTTATTCAGCTAATTCCTGAAACTTTATTATCTATCATTGAAGAAATTTCTGTTATATAAAGAAAAATTTCAAAATATTTAAAATATGAATCATTACGTTATTCTGAATTAAAATATTTCGTTACATATAAATATGTACTTTTTCAAATGGATATGTTTGTATATATTTATCAAGAGAGGAATCGACTTGAGTTCAAAAAGGTTTGTCTGAAATAAACTTTTGAGTCGAATAATTTAGAAGATATTACAATTTGATGATAATAAAACTATCAGCACTCACGCGTATTGTTAAGTAGGAACTGCTTAAATAGCTACTGGTTTTTAACTTGAGGAGACATTGGGAAGAGTTGCCCTTGGAGACACATTAGTGAGCAATTAGAACGTCATTGTTATTCGAAACAAAAATAATTAATATCTTTAGAACCCTTAACTTGTCCTCTGTTCGATATATCACGTCTAAGATACACTTGAGTATATATAATATACACGTAGCAAATGATATTTTCTAAGACTGTTTAGACAATAAACTATGACCAAGGGTGCCCATCCCCAGTGCCGCTCTTAAACATAAGGCCCTCCGGGCAATTTATTTCTCAAGCTGTTTTATATTATGTACTATTTGAACTTCATTTCATTCAATATTTCTCTAATACAGTTGCTTTATTAATACGCTAAAATTAATTATTTTAATAAGTTTTGTATACATCTTTATTTGTAAAGATGTAAGTGGCTAGTGCCCCTGATGATCGGCGCCCTTAACGGTCGCCCTTTTAGCTAGTTCCAAAAATTTATTACTCCATCAAATAATGCCCTCTCTCCTCAAAAATTCAAAACCTCATAAAAATGTCTCTCCCCAAAACAAATTTGACGGTTTGGCTTGCGCTATTAAATGCCCTTCTGGATAACCGTGCCTATGACTAGGGTCTATAAATAATATTGAATCAACTTTTTTAGTTTAATTAGTTGATAGGACTTAAATTTTCTCTTCAAAGCTGTTCATAATGAATTTACCGCATTTAATTCATTTAGTTTAATTTTCAGTGCTTGAGAGTTGCACAATTTTACATAGACGGATTCCCATTAAAATGTTTAATCCTTAATATTTTCGGTAATATAATTTTTAATGAAAATAAAACTAACTCGGTTAATGTTCCAGCTTATTATAAATAGATTATATATTTCGATAAAAAAGTATTGATCTATTCGCTTGAGAACTCTCCAAATATAAATAAATAAATGGTGTTTAAATTTTTTGCAAATTTAACGTAATAGCCGTCAGTAGCGGACCCAGGATTTAATTTTTTGGAGGGGGGCTTCAGACCGAAAGTTATTTATTGTTTACATATATAACGATCATTACTTTGGAAGAAAAAGAAACTAAGTACCTATATTAAATGATATTTAAGTGATTCTTGAAATTCTATTAAATGTTATTACACGAAAATACTACTTTTAGAGATAATTAGTATATATTTTTTCATAAGACATGATTTATTTTACCATTTTGGTAATAGATGGGGCGGGAAGAGGAGGGGGGGGGGGGAGGAGAGGCTTCAGCCCGTAAGCCCCCCATTCCCAATATCAACGTAGATTTATCTTCAATTCAAGTGCTGTTTCAATTATGTTAATACATTTGAAAAATGAGTAAAAAAATATGTAGGATTACAGATACAATTTTTATACTACAATCCAGATCTTCAGTTAGGAAATAAAATTAAAATATCTTAAAATTGTTCAGAAAAAAATTATAATCAACCCACTACTGTTGATCATAGGACAGGAATCCATGATGAGGGTGCAAATGTGTTTATGATGAGGGAGTCAATATAACACTTCATAAAATGTATCTTCACCTGCAAATAATAAAAAAAAAAAAACGCAAGAATATAATAGTGGTAAACCTTCTGCAAAAAAAAAAATAAACAAAAAAACTCCAAAGAAGTTTCGAACGTTTAATAATCGTTGCCAACGATCCATCATAGTCATATGGTGGTCCCGCATTATATGGGACAAAAACCTCTTAAGGAAAACCAAACAAAAGCCAGTCCAAGGCACAACAGAAGAAAAAAGAAAGAAATTGAATTGGATACGGTTAAATTACTCCAGGGAGCATCTGCTGGAAGGGCTAGGAAGGGCGCTGAAAACCGCAGGCCCATAAAATTGTTACCAGACCAAGACATGGTGGTACCTGATTAAAAAGAAAAAATACAAGGGTCTGGACTTGCAATGGATGCTTGAAAGAAAAAATTCAAATGAGGTCAGTGGTTATAGGGGCACATGTACCTATGTGGGCTATTGTAACAGAATTTAGTTCATGAAAGACATTTATGGGTGAATGTCATAAGCGTATTGTTCTACGAGGGTCATTTAGATGCGTTAGATTTATTATGAGAAATTACGTTTAATTATAAGAGATAAACTATTCATATATTTGTATTGTGTGGCCCAATATATTGAGGTTTGAATAAAATGTATTTACGTACATTGGCTTGGCTACCACATGTTTTCTTGTAATACTCGAGATGGAGTAACGATGCTTGATCTCTAAGGTAAGGTCTGAAGTTTTAAAACACTGTGTTGCTCATGTTCACAGAATGCGAGTTTCACCGGTTTCCTACTTTCTGTTATGGAGAAACGAATCAATCAAAATCCTTGCATCAAGCCCGTCAGCGTTATAGAGAAAGCGTTCGTTATGGGGAAAACCATAATATTAAATTATTTAAAATTTGACGGGGTTTATAAAAATCGTCCGCTATAGAGAAGTGTCCGTTAAGAGAAGTTTCACTACACATTATGATGACCCCCCCCCCTTTAATTAAGGCGGAATGACACCCATTGTTTTTTTTTCCAGTGTTGGTTTAATTAAATCAGATCAATACCTTTCGCCGATGAGGAAGTCATGAATAGTTACTTATATTTTACCGGCTTCTCACTCATGAATAAGCAATACGACTGGGAAACTTGTTTCTTACACTTGATATAAAATAGATTACTTTGTTATTGTTGTAAATGTTTTTTTATGTTGCTCAGAAAACAACCATTCATTCAACTCCAACCATTGATCCGTTCGTCTTTCATAATCTTATAAATCTTAAGACTAAGACCATTTAGCAGCGTAATTGGATATTTAAGTTACCATCGGGCAAAGTTAGTATTGGAATTGGTTATATGCTCGTAAGGTCTTATTTCTTAAAGAAAAACGTCATATATGTGTTATATTGTGAGACGAGTAACAACGGAAACTAGGCAGGTCCGAGATGAAAGGTGTGTTATAGTCTTCCTCATTGCATTGGAACCAGTTCTGAGAGAGAAACAAGTTTGGTCTCAACCAGGAATCGAACGTAATAATACATAACAGGCGGCAGCGGGGCCTTCAAACGTCATATCTTTTTCTTTAGAGCGGAAACATAACATCATATATATTTCTTTGGTTTAAATCAAAATAAATCGCTTTTAAATAATCTGAAATCCTATCATCAAGTCACAAGATAAGGAAATTCGTGCAGTTTAATTTTTTTTAATTTAACTCTGTACATTTATCGCTATTCAAAGATGTTTTATTTGCACTAGGGTTTGAAATCGATAATAATCAAAACTATTATCTAGAATTTTTACAAATCATTTGTTGTATTTATCATTAAGAGCTATTTTTATTTATGATCATATCCTGATTATTATTTTTTAACAAAATGTTTACAATTAACAATAATAATAAGTAGTAATAAAAGTATTTCTCAAGAATTATTATTATTGTTGATTGTAAAAATTTTGTTAAAAAATAATAATCATGATATGATCATAAATAAAAATAGCTCTTAATGATAAATACAACAAATGATTTGTAAAAATTCTAGATAATAGTTATATATATATATATATATATATATATATATATATATATATATATATATATATATGTAATTTCTATGATATACTTTGAGTCTGGAGTAGTAGGTGGAGATATTATTGGAATATTGTTGTCAACTATTAACAACAGAACATCTTTACTTCCGAAATTTTTAGACATTTTTTCTTAATATATATATATATATACACACACACACACACACACATATATAGTGCAGGTTCCGTGTGCACAATTAAAGCGGTTTCAGAAAAATAATATTAAAAAATGTTTACTATTATTTTGCTGTTTATTCATTATAAATAGTGTGAATGAGCTACTATTATATCACTATTACTATTGTCCTTAAATGTGACATATTGTAATATATCTCAATAAAGAATTTAAAAAAAAAAACGAAAAAAATGTGCACATACATATTAATATTTAATTTAATTTGCATGTAAAAGGTGATTTTTATTTTCAGATCAATTTTTTTTTATCGCAATTTAATCTTTATAATCTATGTAAAACCGTATCACTCAGTGAGTGATCATTATTTTAATCGAATCAATAAATATCAAAGATAGATTTAAATTTTTATTTATAAATCAGGCATGATTTTTAAATAAAAAATCAAATATTATAATTATTACATGATTTTGTGGAAATAGAAATAATCGATTTCAAACTCTGTTTTGCACTGCTGTTTTAAAATTAAATATTAGTATAACATAAATAAGATCTTATATATTTTATATATATTTTTTTTTAATATACCGATCCTGAGTCATTGTTCATTTCAATTAATTTATATGGTTTATGAGTAAACATTGTCCAGAAATTCAGTGCTTGAAACAGAAAAAAAACCTTTTTTTAAAAAAGTTTCGGAATCTTCATCATCAGAATTATTATTTCCGATAGTTTTTCAGTTTTTTTTGGAATTAGAACTTTTTTCCTGGCAACTTTTCAAGTAAGATTTCACGTAACTTTTATTATTACA